GTTCTTGAGTGTCTGTTCTTTCGAAAAATTCGAATACTGACACATCAAATCATAAATACAACTACAATAGTAAGAATAACATTTACATTCAAGAAGATACATAATATAAACATCACATTCTAATGTTGAATGTAGAGGAGGAGGATGAGCGTTACAAAAATAGAAACTAGAAAAAAAAAAAAAGTGCTGCCAATATTTTCCTTTTCTTACAGTAAACTTGGATATATTACGCGCATTTTTACCCATTTTCCATAATTTGTAACTTGAATGTAGCATCATGAGTAAGACATGTGCAAAAATTTTGTTTTTTTATTGTCAATAAAGACACCTAAATCCTGCAAGTGCGGCTTACTCATCAACTTGTCGTCGGTATTATATATCATTTGAATATAATCAAAATTCTTTTTCAAACTTATGACAGGTGGTTTACATAGTGTTTAGTCAGGTTAAATTCACATTCACATGTTCACAAGAAAATCCTTCATATCAACATTTATGGCCGATGTTTGGTGTTATTATCACTTTTTCAGAACAAAATCTCATTCTTTGTATCAAGATTTTTACAACACTTGGTTAATTTATTCTGATATCGTCTTCACCTACTAGAAATATGATTGATGATTCTCTCTTAATTTAAAGATAAATTAAACACTTAGTCAAGAGTATTAGGAAGTACATGTGAAAGACGGATAACAGGAATATCAAGACAAGCTAACTCTAACTCTAATTCTGCATAGATAGTTGAGATTATGGCTGTATAGCAGAAGGTGACATTACATTAATGATACACAATACTGACAAGTTGATAAACAAGATACATGTGCAACATCTGGCTATTTTTATTAATGAGACATTTTTCCAATAAGTGACTTTTCCAGTACAGTACACAGAATATATACTGGAGACAGTGGAAGTGCAGAGAATTTTGCGGTGTTCGGTTCCTCAGACTTGACAGAAAATGTAAATCTAAAGTAAATTCATGAGAATGGAGACTTATATACTGAGGCCAGAGGAAAGGTGCAGCAGTTGAAGACATCATTATAGGAGGGTGGGAATCACTAGTGGAACAGGTTATGTCAGAGTGTTGGATCAGAGGTTAGCAATAGATTTGTATAAGATATCCTGTATACCAGTATTCCTTGGTGTTGCTGTGTGAGATAAGTATCATTACATTAATAATATACAACACTGACTAGGTACCCAGGTGTTGCAAGTGTCTTATTCAATAACTTAACACTACTGTATATCATCAGTGTAACAGTACATGTCTGATGCTGCAACACCATAAAATACTGGTACCGAGATATTAACAACTCTGTTGCTAACCTCTGGTCCAACACTTGACCATGACTTCCTTCCACTAGTGAGTCTCGTGCACTTATCATACCTATTGTTGCGACATCATTTCTCTGGCTCCATGATACAAGACGTCCATCAAGGCTGCGGGATTGAACTCAAAACTCTCCACATTTTTGTACTGCCTCCAGTATATAATTTCTGCATTGCATAAAAAACTACCGATTAGCAAAATGTCTTTTATCAATTAAGACAGGCAGGTATTGCATATGTTTTTATTCGCCACAAGGTTATACTTCAAGGCCGTACTAGATATAGATCAAGATATTATTTTTGAATGTACTGACAAGAAAAAAAACCACTTATATTTTTGCCTCAATACCCACCTCCCATCAAGGCAGGTGACCCAAGAAAGGGAAGCTTATTCACCATCATTCGCTCAGTCTCCGTCTTGCCACAACTGTGCTGAGATCACAATTCACAGAAACAATTATACATAAAAGTGAAACTCACACAGGTAATTTTATGTTATTTCAGTAACTCTTCTGATCAAATAAAGGTAATTATAGGGTCCAAGTGTCGTAATGCTAACAATAGAGTAGTAAAGACAAGCTGCAGGACAAGCTTTTATTGACAAAACTTTGTCCCAATAGAAATAATAATAATAAAATGAGATTTTATTATTCTTAAGTACATTTTTTTTTTCAAGAAATTCAGAAACACTCACACACCAAATTATATATTGTAACAATGATAAAAGCAATATTTAAGTTTACAATCAAGAGAGAGAGCATGATTGTGATGATCACATTCTCACTCTCGTATTTTCATCTGAAACCTTATTACAAGCTTAAACAAAAGCTTATTCTGCAGTGTGACTTCAAAACAAATGCTGCCTATGTTCTGTTTTTGAGGGTACATCATGTATATAATAAAACATAGCTAGATAATGATACTAATAGAAGGATTCCAATGGAAATAAGTCACCTTGACTTTTTTTGGGTTATCCTGGGTATTTTACACTATGTATGATAATTGTATTTAAGTGTACCTGTGCCTAAATAAACTTAGAATGTATAATCAGGTAAACAAGGTAGGACAACCTAGCTGTTCCTCACTGTAGTCTTTAATATCAACAAAAGTAACATATCATGTAAACACCTTAAACAATAGATTAACTCTGAAATTAATTCAATACTTCCTCACAATGATGACTTTAATAGAGGTAGAATGATAAATAACACTAGGAAAACAAAGTTTTTTTGAATCACTCCATCAAAAATAAGTAAAATTTTCGGAAATGTTTAGCAAAGAAAAACTAGGAATATAATGGACGGGAGAGTATACTGCTTAGTGAGGTCTGAGAGGTAGTTTACACTAGACAGCCGGGAAGAACTTGTATACCACCAGTATACCACATGACAGATAGACAAAAAAAAAATTTATTTTGATATATGAAGGAAAAAAAGATCCTCAATTTAACTGGGAGAAATGTACATCATAAAATAAAAAAAAATATTCGTTACAGAAGGAAGAGAGTCGAACCGAGTTATATAGATAATCTTGCAAACTTGAACACCTTCCTAGGATAAATGATACCAGATGGAGTCATTGATTAGGTGGAGATTGATACCTCAAGTTTACCCAGAGGAGGTCACCTGACTGGGCATTTCTGACAGGTGACACCATGACGTCATCCTCTCACCATATAAGCAACCATCTTCTCTCCACTTCACTGAAGAAGGTCTAACATCAAGAACGAAATTATCATTTTTGTTTTTCTATTTATTTTACAAAATACTTTATATCACATTGACTAGTATACTATTGCACTTTTCACCATTATATATATATATATATATATATATATATATATATATATATATATATATATATATATATATATATATATATAATCTACTTTATAAAATAATTTATTTTTTTTTTGTAATTTTCTACGCTGTTATGCATGGAGTGCCTTGGCCTTACGTCAGCCTATTGTGTCCGTGTTACTGAAGTGATCAGTCAACTGTTACTGTAACTGAAGTGATCCGTCAACTGTTACTGTTACTGAACCACAACTAACTTCAGTAACGCTCATAATTATTCTCGTGTCTTTTAGTAAACATCATTTGCATCACAATATTTTGCTTCAGATTACTTGTGTTAAAGTTCGTTTTAGAAAGTAATGAAAGTACCTTTGTTATTTTTTATGTACTTACCTGAAATACACATGTATCATATGTAACTGTAATACGCAAGTGTATCATGTAAGTGTCAAATACGCTTTTACTGCGTAACTGCAGTAAACAGGTTGGGTAAGTTGCAGGCCAGTTAGGGCTGCCTGAGACATTGACCTCTAAGGGTCAGAGAGTGCCAGAAACATCACTAAATTAAAGGCTGAAGAATTTTTTGTAGCAGGGCAAGAAATGTCTGAATTCGAGGAGGTATGACTATGTTATCATTGACTCTCAAGAGACTCAACATTAATGTCTATAACATCATTTTGGATAACATCACATCAGCTGTCCAGCCAAGAAAGACTGACAATCCTGGGGATTCCTATTTGATATTTAAAAGTTATAATGTTAATGGTCTTATATACTTTACCAGTATGTTAATCAGACACAATATATGCTCTGTATACTAAGGAACTTTTGTGCCTGCACACCTAAATATCACTCATCTCTGTACATTGTATCATGCTGAAATAATCTTTCCTATGCGATTTATGGTCTTTCAGTGACGAGACGCTTTATCCACTGTGGACTTTAATATTAAACTCTAATAATGTCCCTGGTGGACGAAATGTTTTCTCAACAAAATGCTACGAAAATCATAAAAAAAAAACTTTGATTCATCTCCATCCGTCAGGCTTACATCTGAGATGAGTAGAAGTGAACTATGACGAAACAGACTCCATCAAAGCTTCATTTCCAAATCATATAAATTCTACACTAAAGCTTTTGTAGTGCTTTAAGAGAAATGATCTTCAGAATACATTGTTTAACGTAAGAATATCGCTGAGAACATTAACGATACCAGTAACTACTGCTAGACGTGAGGATATACTGAGTAACTTCAAGACTGTTAAAACATCTGCAGTAAGGAGAGAACAAGCTAGACAGCAATGTTGATCTTATATCTTGACCACCGTCTTGATATAATCAACAGACACCAATATCATCAACACGTGATTATCACCATTAAATGTCCCTTTAAACAAAACCATCAATGTTAACAAGCCATGTCAGCATTCAGTGCTGGTGTCCTCTCTCAACTAGTCTTTCATTATCAATAACAAGTCATTATCACCAACAAACATCTCCATCACCAACATATGCTGTATAAGCATTATACATGACTGAAATCAACACATTATACTCTTAACAAACACATGTTGGCTATCAATAATTTAAAGTTATCAACGTATATTACTCGGACAAACACATGGTATTTTCACTATTACAAACACAACGATGACTGGCTGCTTAGCCATGCTTTATTGGGCCAATAGGAGAGCCCAGTTTCAATAAGAAATGCTGCTTGGATGTTTGAGCATAACTTAACCAATGAAAGAGCTAGGATTGCATGCAAGTGACTTGAGTGCATGACAATGACGGGCTCGTGGACAGGGTTTACTCAGCCAAGAGGATGCCTGAAAGCAGTAGCAAGTTAACTGATTGATTATTTTGGCCTTGAGGAATCGGCACTACTGTGATTAGCTGTTTAGGACTAGCCAATCACAGAGCTATAGTGAAACTTTCCACCTTTTATAAAGCAATGAAAGGTGGCCAGACAACACATTCCTCGGCGAGCAGCAGATAAGATGACACAGGAGGATCTCCCAAGCTTCCCCAGTGCAAGGACTGTGACCTAAAGCTGGGGTGTGGCTCCCATAGGGACCTGTAATTTTTGTGTTGGCTGAGAATACCAACGCCCTTGGACGATCTGAGAGATTTCAGACACCAGAGCTCCACCATTAGGTGTACTTCAAATCCCGATGGGGTGGGTTAGCTGGGCGGTTCGTCTTTAGCCCAAATTCCAAGCCCAAACACTGATTTTGACTGCCTGGACCCTGCCATAGAGCTCCCTACACCAGAACTTCAATGACACACTAACATTCCTGCAGACGTCCCTCCTTCCCGACTACGAGATGGCAGGGACCCCACCACAGTGCTGCCACTGTCAGGGTTTCAATCAGCGCCCGAGGGTAGTACTGAAATTGTTCACCCCATTATTCCCTGCTACAGAGACGGGTCACAACATGGAAAAGACCTGTCTTAGGGGTACGCTCCTGGCGACTCCCTTACAGGACAGCCAGACAACAAGGAACAATTAACAACGGGCAGAAGGATAGCATATATAACAACCAATATGCATGTATTCACATATATCTTAGCCTCATCCTGTTACCTTAACGCTTATCAAATTAACTCCCTCTTAGCTTCATAGGCCCTATTATACCTGCTCTTAAAACTATGTATGGATCCTGCCTCCACTACTTCAAGATCATTCCACTTCTCGACCACTACAAGGATTAAAGCTGCATCAGTGATACTTTGACAATTAGTGATGGGAAGTTTGGAATTGTAACACTGGTAACTAGTATGTAGTGTGAAGTTGTGGCAGTGATGTGTCATGTGCGATTCTGACACTGATAACTGGAAATGTTCTTTGTGAATTAGCGTCACTGGCACCATACCGACGAGCAAGTGTCGTGTGGAAGTAAACAGTGGTAATTAGAGGTGTGTTGTACAAAGCTAACATACATACCCTGCCACTCAGTATTGTCCCATCTGGCACTGCTACAGTGGCAGTCACAACTTGTGATAGAGTTGTATAAAGTTGTACCAATTTTATACAGTGATATTTAGTCGTACAATTGGGATACCAACTACAGAATGACAACTCCTATTTCTCAATTTTGTGTGATTAATTTCAAGACAGTGGTGTGTGCTCTTTTGCCCACCCAATAAATCATTGCCTCTTTTATTTGTGCGTTTGTTTCAATCTGTCAATCATTACACATACAAACACACACGCGGGGTCAGGAGCCGAGCTCGACCCATGCAACCAAAATAGGTAAGTATACCCTCTCAATTTCAGGATGTTTGCTGGAGCCTGCCATCTCTCATACACACATACACCTATTCGCAGGGTCTTCAAATCTGTAATCCCTAACACACACACCTCACTCCCAGGGTATGTTCAAACCTGCCATCCCTCACGCACACCTCACTCCCAGGGTATGCTCAAGCCTGCCATCCCTAACCCACACCTCACTCCCAGGGTATGTTCAAGCCTGCCATCCCTCACGCACACCTCACTCCCAGGGTAATGTTCAAGCCTGCCATCCCTCACGAACACTTCACTCCCAGGGTAATGTTCAAGCCTGCCATCCTTCACATACACCTCGCTCCCAGGGTAATGTTCAAGCCTGCCGTGCCTCACGAACACCTCACTCCCAGGGTAATGTTCAAGCCTGCCTCCTTCACACACACACCTCACTCCCAGGGTAATGTTCATGACTGCCATCCCTCCCACACACCTCACTCCCAGGGTAATGTTCATGCTTGCCATCCCAGACACTCACCTCACTCCCAGGGTAATGTTCAAGCCCATCATCCCACACATCTCACTCCCAGAGTAATGTTCAAGCCTGCCATCCCTCACACACACACCTCACTCCCAGAGTAATGTTCAAGCTGCCATCCCCACTACTCCCTCACACCCACACACACCCTCACTCCCAGGGTAATGTTCAAGCCTGCCATCCTTCACACACACACCTCACTCCCAGGGTAATGTTCATGAATGCCATCCCTCCCACACACCTCATTCCCAGGGTAATGTTCATGCATGCCATCCCAGACACTCACCTCACCAGGGTAATGTTCAAGCCTGCATCCCCACACATCTCACTCCCAGGGTAATGTTCAAGCCTGCCATCCCTCACACACACCTCACTCCCAGGGTAATGTTCAAGCCTGCCATCCCTCACACACATCTCACTCCCAGGATAATATTCAAGCCTGCCATCCCACACACACCTCGCTCCCATGGTAATGTTCGAGCCTGCCATCCCTCACACACGCCTCACTCCCAGGGTAATGTTCAAGCCTGCCATCCCTCACACACCTCATTCCCAGGGTAATGTTCAAGCCTGCCATCCCACACACACACCTCACTCCCAGGGTATGTTCAAGCCTGCCATCCCCCACGCACACCTCGCTCCCAGGGTAATGTTCAAGCCTGCCATCCCACACACACACCTCACTCCCAGGGTAATGTTCAGGCCTGCCATCCAACACACACACCTCACTCCCAGCTATGTTCAAGCCTGCCATTTCCTCCACACACCTCCTCCAGGGTAATGTTCAAGCCTGCCATCCTCACACCACCTCCTCCCAGGGTAATGTTCAAGCCTGCCATCCCACACACACATCTCACTCCCAGGGTAATGTTCAAGCCTGCCATCCCACACACACACCTCACTCCCAGGGTAATGTTCAAGCCTGCCATCCCTCACACACACCTCACTCCCAGGGTAATGTTCAAGCCTGCCATCTCACACCTCACTCCCAGGGTAATGTTCAAGCCTAACATCCCTACCACCCTTCCAGAGTAATGTTCAAGCCTGCCATCCTAACACCTACTCCAGGGTAATGTTCAAGCCTGCCATCCTCACACAACCTCACTCCCAGGTAATGTTCAAGCCTGCCATCCCACACCTCACTCCCAGGGTAATGTTCAAGCCTGCCATCCCACACCTCACTCACAGAGTAATGTTCAAGCCTGCCATCCCTCACACACACACCTCACTCCCAGGGAAATGTTCGAAGCCTGCCATCCTCCACACACTCACTCCCAGGTAAGGTTCAAGCCTGCCATCCCCTCACGCACACCTTCCTCCCAGGGTAATGTTCAAGCCTGCCATCCCATCAACACACCTCACTCCCAGGGTAATGTTCAAGCCTGCATCCCTCACACGCAACCTCACTTCCAGGGTAATGTTCAAGCCTGCCATCCCACAACACCTCACTCCCAGGGTAATGTTCAAGCCTGCCATCCCACACACACACCTCACTCCCAGGGTAATGTTCAAGCCTGCCATCCCACACCTCACTCCCAGAGTAATGTTCAAGCCTGCCATCCCCGGCACACACCTCACTCCCAGGGTAATGTTCAAGCCTGCCATCCCCCGCACACACCTCACTCCCAGGGTAATGTTCAAGCCTGCCATCCCACACCTCACTCCCAGGGTAATGTTCAAGCCTGCCATCCCTCACACACACACCTCACTCCCAGGGTAATGTTCAAGCCTGCCATCCCTCACACACGCACCTCACTCCCAGGGTAATGTTCAAGCCTGCCATCCCTCACACACACTCACTCCCAGGGTAATGTTCAAGCCTGCCATCCCTCACACACACCTCACTCCCGAGTGCAATGTTCAAGCCTGCTATCCCTCACACACACACCCCACTCCCAGGGTAATGTTCAAGCCGTGCATCCCTCACCCACACCTCACTCCCAGGTAATGTTCAAGCCTGCCATCCCTCACACACACCTCACTCCAGGGTAATGTTCAAGCCTGCCATCCCTCACACACACCTCACTCCCAGGGTAATGTTTCAAGCCTGCCATCCCTCACACACCTCACTCCCAGGTATTGTTTCAAGCCTGACATCCCTCACACACACCTCACTCCCAGAGTAATTTCAAGCCTGCCATCACTCACACACACCTCACTCCCAGGTAATGTTCAAGCCTCCCATCCCTCACACACACCTCACTCCCAAGGTAATGTTCAAGCCTGCCATCCCTCACACACACCTCACTCCCAGAGTAATGTTCAAGCCTGCATCCCTCACACACACCTCACTCCCAGGGTAATGTTTAAGCCTTCCATCCCTCACACACACCTCACTCCAAGGGTAATGTTCAAGCCTGCCATCCCTCACACACACCTCACTCCCAGGGTAATGTTCAAGCCTGCCATCCCTCACACACCTCACTCCCAGGTAATATTCAAGCCTGCCATACCTCACACACACCTCACTCCCAGAGTAATGTTCAAGCCTGCCATCCCTCACACACACCTCACTCCCAAAGTAATGTTCAAGCCTGCATTCCCTCACACACACCTCACTCCCAGGGTAATGTTCAAGCCTGCCATCCCTCATACACACCTCACTCCCAGGGTAATGTTCAAGCCTGCCATCCCTCATCCCAGGGTATGTTCAGCTCCACACCTCACACCCTCACTCAGGGTAATGTTCAAGCCTGCCATCCCTCACACACTCCTCACTCCCAGGGTAATTTCAAGCCTGCCATCCCTCACACACACCTCACTCCAGGGTAATGTTCAAGCCTGCCATCCCTCACACACCACCTCACTCCCAGGAGTAATGTTCAAGCCTGCCATCCCTCACACACACACCTCACACCCAGGGTAATGTTCAAGCCTGCCATCTCTCACACACACCTCACTCCCAGAGTAATGTTCAAGCCTGCCATCCCTCACACACACACTCACTCCCAGGATAATGTTCAAGCCTGCCATCCTCACACACCCTCACTCCCAGGGTAATGTTCAAGCCTGCCATCCTCACACACACCTCACTTCCCAGGTTAATGTTCAAGCCTGCCATCCCTCACACACACCTCACTCTCAGGGTAATGTTCAAGCCTGCCATCCCTCACACACACACCTCACTCCCAGGGTAATGTTCAAGCCTGCCATCCCTCACACACACCTCACTCCCAGAGTAATGTTCAAGCCTGCCATCCCTCACACACACCTCACTCCCAGGGTAATGTTCAGCCTGCCATCCCTCACACACACACCTCACACCCAAATGGTAATGTTCAAGCCTGCCATCCTCTCACCACACCTCACTCCCTAGGTAATGTTCAAGCCTGCCATCCCTCACACACACCTCACTCCCAGGGTAATGTTCAAGCCTGCCATCCTTCACACACACTCACTCCCAGGGTAATGTTCAAGCCTGCCATCCCCCTCAACACACATCCTCACTCCCAGGGTAATGTTCAAGCCTGCCATCCCTCACACACCCTACTCCCAGAGTAATGTTCAAGCCTGCCATCCCTCACACACACCTCACTCCCATGTAATGTTCAAGCCTGCCATTCCTCACACACACCTCACTTCCAGGTAATGTTCAAGCCTGCCATTCCTCCACACACACCTCACCCCAGAGTAATGTTCAAGCCTGCCATCTCTCACACACACTCACTCCCAGGAGTAATGTTCAAGCCTGCCATCCCTCATCACACACCTCACCCCAGAGTAATGTTCAAGCCTGCCATCCCTCACACACACACCTCACTCCCAGGGTAATGTTCAAGCCTGCCATCCCTCACACACACCTCACTCCCAGAGTTAATGTTCAAGCCTGCCATCCCTCACACACACCTCACTCCCAGAGTAATGTATTCCAAAGCCTGCCATCCCTCACACACACCTCACTCCCAGAGTAATGTTCAAGCCTGCCATCCCTACACACACCTACTCCAGGTAATGTTCAAGCTGCCATCCCTCACACACACCTCACTCCCAGAGTATGTTCAAGCCTGCCATCCCTCACCACCCTCACTCCCAGGATTAATGTTCAAGCCTGCCATCCCTCACACACACACCTCACTCCCAGGTAATGTTCAAGCCTGCCATCCTCACACCTCACTCCAGAGTAAGTTCAGCATGCATCCCTCACACCTAACTCCCAGAGTAAATGTTCAAGCCTGCCATCCCTCACAACACCTCACTCCCAGGGTAATGTTCAAGCCTGCCATCCCTCACACACACACACTCCAGGTAATGTTCAAGCTGCCATCCTCACACACCTCACTCCCAGAGTAATGTTCAGCCTGCCATCCCTCACACACACCTCACTCCCAGGTAATGTTCAAGCCTGCCATCCCTCACACACACCACACTCCAGAGTAATGTTCAAGCCTGCCATCCCTCACACACACCTCACTCCCAGGTAATGTTCAAGCCTGCCATCCCTCCACACACACCTCACTCCCAGAGTAATGTTCAAGCCTGCCATCCCTCACCACACTCACTCCCAGAGTAATGTTCAAGCATGCCATCCCTCACACACACCTTCACTCCCAGAGTAATGTTCAAGCCTGCCATCCCTCACACACACCTCACTCCCAGAGTAATGTTCAAGCCTGCCATCCCTCACACACACCTCACTCCCAGAGTAATGTTCAAGCCTGCCATCCCTCACACCTCACTCCCAGAGTAATGTTCAAGCCTGCCATCCCTCACACACACCTCACTCCCAGAGTAATGTTCAAGCCTGCCATCCCTCACACACACCTCACTCCCAGGGTAATGTTCAAGCCTGCCATCCCTCACACACACCTCACTCCCAGGGTAATGTTCAAGCCTGCCATCCCTCACACACACACCTCACTCCCAGAGTAATGTTCAAGCCTGCCATCCCTCACACACACCTCACTCCCAGAGTATGTTCAAAGCCTGCCATCCCTCACACCACCTCACTCCCAGAGTAATGTTCAAGCCTGCCATCCCTCACACACACTCACTCCCAGGGTAATGTTCAAGCCTGCCATCCCTCACACACACCTCACTCCCAGAGTAATGTTCAAGCCTGCCATCCCTCACACACCTCACTCCCAGAGTAATGTTCAAGCCTGCCATCCCTCACACCACCTCACTCCCAGAGTAATGTTCAAGCCTGCCATCCTCACACACACCTCACTCCCAGGTAATGTTCAAGCCTGCCATCCCTCACACACACCTCACTCCCAGAGTAATGTTCAAGCCTGCCATCCCTCACACACACCTCACTCCCAGAGTAATGTTCAAGCCTGCCATCCCTCACACACACCTCACTCCCAGAGTAATGTTCAAGCCTGCCATCCCTCACACACACCTCACTCCCAGGGTAATGTTCAAGCCTGCCATCCCTCACACACACACCTCACTCCCAGAGTAATGTTCAAGCCTGCCATCCCTCACACACACACCTCACTCCCAGAGTAATGTTCAAGCCTGCCATCCCTCACACACACCTCACTCCCAGGGTAATGTTCAAGCCTGCCATCCCTCACACACACCTCACTCCCAGAGTTATGTTCAAGCCTGCCATCCCTCACACACACCTCACTCCCAGAGTAATGTTCAAGCCTGCCATCCCTCACACACCACCTCACTCCCAGGTAATGTTCAAGCCTTGCCATCCCTCACACACACCTCACTCCCAGGGTAATGTTCAAGCCTGCCATCCCTCACACACACCTCACTCCCAGGTAATGTTCAAGCCTGCCATCCCTCACACACACCTCACTCCCAGAGTAATGTTCAAGCCTGCCATCCCTCACACACACCTCACTCCCATGGTAATGTTCAAGCCTGCCATCCCTCACACACACCTCACTCCCAGAGTAATGTTCAAGCCTGCCATCCCTCACACACACCTCACTCCCAGAGTAATGTTCAAGCCTGCCATCCCTCACACACAACCTCACTCCCAGAGTAATGTTCAAGCCTGCCATCCCTCACACCTCACTCCCAGAGTAATGTTCAAGCCTGCCATCCCTCACACACACCTCACTCCCAGAGTAATGTTCAAGTCCTGCCATCCCTCACACACACCTCACTCCCAGAGTAATGTTCAAGCCTGCCATCCCTCACACACACCTCACTCCCAGGGTAATGTTCAAGCCTGCCATCCCTCACACACACCTCACTCCCAGAGTAATGTTCAAGCCTGCCATCCCTCACACACACCTCACTCCCAGGTAATGTTCAAGCCTGCCATCCCTCACACACACCTCACTCCCAGAGTAATGTTCAAGCCTGCCATCCCTCACACACACCTCACTCCCAGGGTAATGTTCAAGCCTGCCATCCCTCACACACACCTCACTCCCAGAGTAATGTTCAAGCCTGCCATCCCTCACACAGCACCTCACTCCCAGAGTAATGTTCAAGCCTGCCATCCCTCACACACACCTCACTCCCAGGTAATGTTCAAGCCTGCCCATCCCTCACACACACCTCACTACCCAGAGTAATGTTCAAGCCTGCCATCCCTCACACACACCTCACTCCCAGGGTAATGTTCAAGCCTGCCATCCCTCACACACACCTCACTCCCAGGTAATGTTCAAGCCTGCCATCCCTCACACACACCTCACTCCCAGAGTAATGTTCAAGCCTGCCATCCCTCACACACACCTCACTCCCAGAGTAATGTTCAAGCCTGCCAATCCCGGCACTCATCACACACCCTCACTCCCAGGGTAATGTTTCAAGCCTGCCATCCCTCACACACACCTCACTCCCAGGGTAATGTTCAAGCCTGCCATCCCTCACTCCCAGGGTAATGTTCAAGCCTGCCATCCCTCACACACACCTCACTCCCAGGGTAATGTTCAAGCCTGCCATCCCTCACACACACCTACACTCCCAGGGTAATGTTCAAGCCTGCCATCCCTCACACACTCCTCACTCCCAGGGTAATGTTCAAGCCTGCCATCCCTCACACACACCTCACTCCCAGGGTAATGTTCAAGCCTGCCATCCCTCACACACCTCACTCCCAGGGTAATGTTCAAGCCTGCCATCCCTCACACACACCTCACTCCCAGAGTAATGTTCAAGCCTGTCATCCCTCACACACACCTCACTCCCAGGGTAATGTTCAAGCCTGCCATCCCTCACACACACCTCACTCCCAGAGTAATGTTCAAGCCTGCCATCCCTCACACACACCTCACTCCCAGAGTAATGTTCAAGCCTGCCATCCCTCACACACACCTACTCCCAGGTAATGTTCAAGCCTGCCATCCCTCACACACCCTCACTCCCAAGAGTAATGTTCAAGCCTGCCATCCCTCACACACACCTCACTCCCAGGGTAATGTTCAAGCCTGCCATCCCTCACACACACCTCACTCCCAGAGTAATGTTCAAGCCTGCCATCCCTCACACACACCTCACTCCCAGGTAATGTTCAAGCCTGCCATCCCTCACACACACCTCACTCCCAGAGTAATGTTCAAGCCTGCCATCCCTCACACACACCTCACTCCCAGGGTAATGTTCAAGCCTGCCATCCCTCACACACACCTCACTCCCAGGGTAATGTTCAAGCCTGCCATCCCTCACACACCTCACTCCCAGAGTAATGTTCAAGCCTGCCATCCCTCACACACACACCTCACTCCCAGGGTAATGTTCAAGCCTGCCATCCCTCACACACACCTCACTCCCAGAGTAATGTTCAAGCCTGCCATCCCTCACACACACCTCACTCCCAGAGTAATGTTCAAGCCTGCCATCCCTCACACACACCTCACTCCCAGGGTAATGTTCAAGCCTGCCATCCCTCACACACACCTCACTCCCAGGGTAATGTTCAAGCCTGCCATCCCTCACTCCCAGGGTAATGTTCAAGCCTGCCATCCCTCACACACTCCTCACTCCCAGGGTAATGTTCAAGCCTGCCATCCCTCACACACACCTCACTCCCAGAGGTAATGTTTTACAATAGCACATTACGCAATATAACTGTAGTATTTGGGCTGATTTTGACGTCTTTATCTGATTTAAGAGAGAAAAGTGAAAAGAGTTTTTGTACGTATGGTGAGAAAAACACAACCGGCTCTTTACCTCCTCTCCTTCGAGGCCCTGCAGCATTACCTTACTACATATTCCTTTAGCTCTTCCCTTTAAGGTAAAGGGGATTTTTTTTACTCTTTTACCTTAAGGTCAGGTGATCTGCTCTTTTATCCCTTTGAAGCATGGCAGCCCTCCCTTTATCCATCCCTTAACGCAAGGCAGCCCTCCCTTTATCCATCCCTTGAAGCAAGGCAGCCCTCCCTTTATCCATCCCTTTAAAGCAAGGCAGCCCTCCCTTTATCCATCCCTTGAAGCAAGGCAGCCCTCCCTTTATCTATCCCTTTAAAGCAAGGCAGCCCTCCCTTTATCCCTTTAAAGCAAGGCAGCCCTCCCTTTATCTATCCCTTTAAAGCAAGGCAGCCCTCCCTTAGTAAAGAATTTTACTCCATTGATGAATATTTTATTACAAGTGCAAATGTACCTGTTAAACTATGTTTAAAAATGCGTTTTGGATAGCCTACTTTAGTAAGAGCTGCTTGTACTGGTGCCTTTAAAGTCAATGGTACCTTGTAGATTTTAAATCAAATGTTATCTGGTGATTTACAAGTCAAATGGTACCATGTGATTTAAAGTCAAATGTTGTACCTGGTGATTTAAAGTCAAATGTGTACCTGGTGATTTAAAGTCAAATGTGTACCTGGTGATTTAAAGTCAAATGTGTACCTGGTGATTTAAAGTCAAATGTGTACCTGGTGATTTAAAGTCAAATGTGTACCTGTGATTTAAAGTCAAATGTGTACCTTGTGATTTAAAGTCAAATGTGTACCTGGTGATTTAAACGTCAATGAATCTAGAGCCGAGGACGATGATTTATGGTTAAGTACATACTAGGTAGGGTAAATCACCCTGGAGCTGAGAACACTTTTCTGACAATTATGTAGCTACCTGCTGGTCAGAGCTAAGCATGTTGCTCTGACAGCTGACTTTCCAGAGTGAACCACCTTTGTGCAGTGACCATTGATCTGACAAGTGTAGTTAGACTGTAAAGTGTTGAGAGCAGTGAGAGAATTAAATCCCATGCTTGTTATTTTATTTATATTTGATCGTGTACATGTTGTGTGTCAACTGTTTTACGATCTGAGGGACTTCAGGAGAGTACACTGTTGTTAGTTTGTCTTTCATTACCCTCTACAACCATAACACTGACCCATCTTAGAGCTGACAACGCTGATCTGACAGTAACAGTGTACCTTCAGTATTTAATACTTTCATTCCGAATTTCTTTCTTAATATTTTTCAGACGATTCTGCTGATGTTGGTTCGGAAACCCTGACCTTCTGACAAAGATTATCCTCAATACCATGGCGGACGTCGGCAATTATGAAGACAAAGACACAAGATACAGAAAAAAACTTATTTGGTCAACGTTTCACTCTATGTAGATCTTTATCAAATAATATTAAAGCTCTACATAAATATAAACATTGTCCCTAGAAAAGCTAATCTGTAACTTAGCCTTTCAGCTTTTGTTTTGCCAGAAATCAACTCATTTGTTATGTTATAGTTACCCATTACAGAAAGTGAGGTTGTACATGGTATTCTCTAATAAACATTATTTCTTGTGTGATTTATGGTACTTGGAAACACGAAATATGATGAAGAATTCAAAATGAGCGTTACTGAAGTAGTACATAGAGTTGGGTGTTGTGACTACTGTTTTGGGCTTACCTCTGTGACCTAGTTTGTGTTGTGACTCGTCAGTGTGACCTCTGAACCCTTCACTGTAACGTGGACACAGTGACCGAGCTACTGCCACATGTCCAAGGAGACATGGCCCTTATGACATAGCTACAAGGACTTGACGACTGTGTCCTTACCACTTTGACCTTTGCACTGTGACCTGACCACCCTGACTTCTGTATAGTGATCTCAACACTGTGACCTAAACATTGTGGCCTGATCACTGTGACCTCTGCACTATGACCTGGCTACAGTGATCTCTACACTGAGCCTTACTCTGGCCAGTCCACTGAGAGGTGTCCATTATAACCTTGTTAGAGTAACCTGGCCACTATGGCTTGGTCACTGTGACATTGAGAGGAATGACCTTACAGCATACCACCCTTCTTGGCCGCCACTGGTAGCTTCTCACCCTTCAGGTAGGGATTAATGTTCTGAAAAAAGAAGAAAAATATTAGATTCAATATTTTAGGATGAAAAGAAGAGAAAAGTATTGGATTCAATATTTAGGATGAAAGAAAAATATCTGATTCAATATTTAGGATGAAAAGAAGAGAAAAGTATTGGATTCAATATTTAGCATGAAAGAAAAATATCTGATTCAATATTTAGCATGAAAGAAAAATATCTGATTCAATATTTAGGATGAAAAGAAGAGAAAAGTATTGGATTCAAGATTTAGCATGAAAGAAATATATCTGATTCAATATTTAGGATATTTGTGAAAAAGTTACAGATGTAAGACTTCAACATTGCACACGTGATACTCAAAGTAACATTTCACAAGTTATGCTTAAATATGTGGAAGGTTCTAGGCGTCACTACAAGGTTCTAGGTGGCTACGTTCTACATGGTCACTACAGGATTCTAGGTGGCCACTACTACAAGGTTCTAAGTGACCACAAGGTTTTAGGTTGCCATAAAGTTCTTTATGGCCACTACAAGGTTCTAGGTGGACACTATAAGGTTTAAGGTGGCCACTACAAGGTTCTAGGTGGCCACTACAAGGTTCTACATGACCACTACAATCTTCTAGGTGGGCACTATAAAGTTTTAAATGGCCACTATAAGGTTCTAGGTGACTACTACCAGGAATGTTCTAGGTGAACACTGCCAGGAAGGTTCTATGTAGCCATTACTAAGAAGGTTCTGGGTGACCACTACTAGAAAGGTTCTAGGTGATCACTACTAGGAAGGTTCTAGGTGACCAATACTAGGAAGGTTCTAGGTGACTACTACTGGAAAGGTTCTAGGTGACCACTACTAGGAAGGTTCTAGGTGACCACTACTGGGAAGGTTCTAGATGACCACTACTAGGAAGGTTCTAGGTAACTATTACTAGGAAGGTACTAGGTGATCACTACTAGGAAGGCTTTAGGTGACTTACTAGGGAGGTTCTAGGTGACCACTACTAGGGAGGTTCTAGGTGACCACTACTAGGAAGACTCAAGGTGACCACTACTAGGAAGGTTCTAGGTGACTACTACTAGGAAGGTTCTAGGTGACCACTACTAGGGAGGTTCTAGGTGACCACTACTAGGAAGGTTCTAGGTGACCACTACTAGGAAGGTTCTAGGTGACTACTACTAGGAAGGTTCTAGGTGACCACTACTAGGAAGACTAAATGACCACTTCTAGGAAGGTTCTAGGTGACCACTACTAGGAAGACTCTAAATGACCACTACTAGGAAGACTCTAGGTTACCACTACTAGGAAGGTTCTAGGTGACCACTACTAGGAAGGTTCTAGGCGACCACTACTAGGGAGGTTCTAGGTGACCACTATTAAGAAGGTTCTAGGTGACCACTACTAGGAAGGTTCTAGGTGACTACTACTGGGAAGGTTCTAGGTGGCCACTATTAGGAAGGTTCTAGGTTACCACTACTAGGAAGGTTCTAGGTGACCACTATTAGGAAAGTTCTAGGTGACCACTACTAGGAAGGTTCTAGGTGACCACTATTAGGAAGGTTCTAGGTGACCACTACTAGGAAGGTTCTAGGTGACCACTACTAGGAAGGTTCTAGGTGACTACTACTAGGAAGGTTCTAGGTGACCACTACTAGGAAGACTAAATGACCACTACTAGGAAGGTTCTAGGTGACCACTATTAGGAAGGTTCTAGGTGACCACTACTAGAAAGGTTCTAGGTGACCACTACTAGAAAGGTTCTAGGTTACCACTACTTGGAAGGTTCTAGGTGACCAGTATTAGGAAGGTTCTAGGTGACCACTACTATTAAGGTTCTAGTCGACCACTACTAGAAAGGTTCTAGGTTACCACTACTAGGAAGGTTCTAGGTGACCACTATTAGGAAGGTTCTAGGTGACCACTACTAGGAAGGTTCTAGGTGACCACTACTAGGAAGATTCAAGGTGACCACTATTAGGAAGGTTCTAGGTGACCACTACTAGGAAGGTTCTAGGTGACCACTATTAGGAAGGTTCTAGGCGACCACTATTAGGAAGGTTCTAGGTGACCACTATTAGGAAGGTTCTAGGTGACCATTACTAGGAAGGTTCTAGGTGACCACTATGAAGGTTCTAGGTGACCACTATTAGGAAGGTTCTAGGTGTCCACTACTAGGAAGGTTCTAGGTGACTACTATTAGGAAGGTTCTAGGTGACCACTATTAGGAAGGTTCTAGGTGTCCACTACTAGGAAGGTTCTAGGTGACTACTATTAGGAAGGTTCTAGGTGACCACTATTAGGAAGGTTCTAGGTGACCACTATGAAGGTTCCAGGTGACCACTATTAGGAAGGTTCTAGGTGACCACTACTAGGAAGGTTCTAGGTGACCACTATGAAGGTTCTAGGTGACCACTATTAGGAAGGTTCTAGGTGTCCACTACTAGGAAGGTTCTAGGTGACTACTATTAGGAAGGTTCTAGGTAACCAATACTAGGAAGGTTCTAGGTGACCACTATTAGGAAGGTTCTAGGTGTCCACTACTAGGAAGGTTCTAGGTGACTACTATTGGGAAAGGGTTTTCTAGGTAACCAATACTAGGAAGGTTCTAGGTGACCACTATTAGGAAGGTTCTAGGTGTCCACTACTAGGAAGGTTCTAGGTGACTACTATTAGGAAGGTTCTAGGTAACCAATACTAGGAAGGTTCTAGGTGACCACTATTAGGAAGGTTCTAGGTGAACACTACTAGGAAGGTTCTAGGTGAACACTACTATGAAGGCTCTAGGTGACCACTATGAAGGTTCTAGGTGATCACTACTAGGAAGGTTCTAGGTGACCACTACTAGGAAGGTTCTAGGTGACCATTACTAGGAAGGTTCTAGGTGACCACTAGGAAGTTCTAGGTGACCACTACTAGGAAGGTTCTAGGTGACCACTACTAGGAAGGTTCTAGGTGACCACTACTAGGAAGGTTCTAGGTGACCACTACTAGGAAGGTTCTAGGTGACCACTACTAGGAAGGTTCTAGGTGACCACTACTAGGAAGGTTCTAGGTGACTATGAATATATTAAACTGATTAACGAATATCAAAAAATTAATTATTAATGAATATAAAAAATTGTTAATATAAAAAAATGATAAATATCCAAAATTGATTAACGAACATCAAAAATTAATTAATATAAAAACTGACAGAAGAATGACAAAAACTGACTGACAAATATGAAAAAAAAAATTAACGATGAATGTCTAAAACTGAGATACCAATGTCCAAAATTGGCAGACCAATGCCTAAAATTAAGCCAATGTCTAAAATTGTTAGACCAATGTCTAAAATTGGCAGACCAATGTCTAAAATTGTTAAGCCAATGTCTAAAATTGTAGACCAAATGTCTAAAATTGGCAGACCAATGTCTAAAATTGTTAAGCCAATGTCTAAAATTGTTAGACCAATGTCTAAAATTGGCAGACCAATGTCTAAAATTGTTAAGCCAATGTCTAAAATTGTTAGACCAATGTCTAAAATTGGCAGACCAATGCCTAAAATTGTTAAGCCAATGTCTAAAATTGTTAGACCAATGTCTAAAATTGGCAGACCAATGCCTAAAATTGTTAAGCCAATGTCTAAAATTGTTAGACCAATGTCTAAAATTGGCAGACCAATGTCTAAAATTATTAGACCAATGTCTAAAATTGTTAGACCAATGTCTAAAATTGTTAGACCTATGTCTAAAATTGTTAGACCAATGTCTAAAATTGTTAGAACGTCTAAAATTTTTATACCAATGTCTAAAACTGTTAGACCAATGTCTAAAATTGTTAGACCAATGTCTAAAATTGTTAGACCAATGTCTAAAACTGTTAGACCAATGTCTAAAATGGTTAGACCAATGTCTAAAATTGTTAGACCAATGTCTAAAATTGTTAGACCAATGTCTAAAATTGTTAGACCAATGTCTAAAACTGTTAAACCAATGTCTAAAATTGTTAACCAATGTCTAAAATTATTAGACCAATATCTAAAATTATTAGACCAATATCTAAAATTGTTATACCAATGCCTAAAATTGTTAGACCAGTGTCTAAAATTGTTAGACCAATGTGATTAATTTCCTTGGGAACATACCTTCTTGGCATGGAACTTTTTTGCAACCAGCTGGTGACCGCCCTCCTGCTGAAAAATAATATATATTGCAACAAGTATTTTCCACTTAAAAGATATTCGAAAAAGACAAATTTATAAAATATTTTTAACAAGTAATTTTTTTTTTACAAAAATATTTTCAATTAAGATTTTTTTAATTTACAAATAATATTTACAAAGAACATTAAATAAGATATATACTGATAATAAAGAATATTAATAAGACATATACTGATAATAAAGAATATTAATAAGACATATACTCATAATAAAGAATATTAATAAGACATATACTCATAATAAGAATATTAATAAGACATATACTCATAATAAAGAATATTAATAAGACATATACTCATAATAAAGAATATTAATAAGACATATACTCATAATAAAGAATATTAATAAGACATATACTGATAATAAAGAATATTAAATAAGACATATACTGATAATAAAGAATATTAAATAAGACACATACTGATAATAAAGAATATTAAATAAGACATATACTGATAATAAAGAATATTAAATAAGACACATACTGATAATAAAGAATATTAAATAAGACATATACTGATAATAAAGAATATTAAATAAGACATATACTGACAATAAAGAATATTAATAAGACATATACTGTTAAGAATCTAAAAGGTCAACCATTATAGTTATCCACTCTCACTGGAACCTGGTGAGGTATCCCCTGGTGGGATACCTGAGGTAGGTCTTACAGGATATCTGACACGATATCCCCTCATGGGGATATATTCTCCAGCAAGATACCTGATGAGGTATCACATTTTAGGATATCTGACGAAGTATCTTTTAAAGGATATCTGATGAAGTGTCTCTGATGAAGTATACCTGATGGGGTATCCCCTTGTGAGATGCTTGATTGCTTTTGTAGGACACCTGATGGGGTATCCCCCCATGGGATACCTGATGAGGTATCCTCTCCAGGTATACCTGACTAGGTATCCTCTCATGGGACACCTGACGAGGTATCCCCCTTTTGGGATACCTGATTATTAAACAAATGTAAAATAGCCAAGAAATTTAATTTGTAAAAGGAAAAATAGGCAGAACCTTATAAACATTATTAACCTGCTAAAAAATTATCTTTTTAAAATAAGGACAAAAAAATGAGTAAGAGTGGAGAAAAATCTGCACTTAAAAGAAATTATTTATCAAACAACAATATGGCCGCTGGCCACAGGGAGCTATGACCCCTCCCCCCTCGATTCAATAAATTCCAAAGTTTGAATTTGCATGAGGCTACATTTGCATTTAATATAAGTCTTACGTGGAGAGATTTGCATAATTCTACAGAGAAATTTTCAATTTTTTTCAGCACCATGCAATGCTGACATTTATTGATGTATGGAGAGCATTCCTGGCAAACTTAAGATTAATAAGGCCCGAATAAGTCCGGTTTTCTAACTCACCAGTCCACGCATGATCTTGTCGAGTGTGGAGTCTAGCACACCCTCGTTCTGGATGGATCGCGCCAGGGCGGTGATCTCAGAGTCCCTGGTGGAGTCTGAACACTCAAACATGTGTTCAGTGTCACACATACAGTCCTGCAGTGACTGGTAGTCACGTGAGAACCCTGCTGTGTTCTCGAAGTCTTCTAAACAACCGTCACTAGCTGTAATGATATGAGGGTGTTAACTCGGGTACTAGTAATGGTTACTAGTTAATAGTACTAATAGTGGTAGCAGTGGTGGTAGTGGTAGCTGTAGTAGTAGTGGTGGTAGTAACTAAGAAACACTTGATGTCTGAACAACATTTTACTACATTCCTCAATAAACATTTTAAGATATACCCTGAGAAACATTTAAAACATTCCCTGAGAAACAATTCATTATGAATGAGAAACATTTAAGACTCCGAGAAACATTCTATATCATCTCGGAAACATTTCAACACATTCTGTGAGAAACGTCACACTTTTACTGAGAAAGAAATGAGATGTATGCTGACCTGTATAACCCATGGGACAAGGGTTGGGTGGGTTGCAGTAAGCTGGAAGAACACCATCACTACTGCTGCTGCCGCCGCCGCTGCTACTGCCACCTTTCACACCACTGGTGTTAGGTTTGGGACGATGCTGTGACTTGTCCTCTGTCGAACATTACCATAGTTAGTGTGTTGAACAGGATGAACAAGGGGTGAGAGAGGGAGCTTGAGAGGGAAGAACAAGGGAGAGTGAAAGTGAAGAACACGGGAGAATGCTTGAGAGTGAAAAATAAGGGCGAGTGGGTGGCACCACACTATTGACGAATCTAATTTTACTAAATAAACAAACTTCAAGTTCCAGTAGAGTACCTGAGTGCTTGTTCTGAGTGTGACTGCTGTATAGCCCTTGTGGCTTAGCGCTTCTTTTTTGATTATAATAATAATCTGAGTGTGACTCTTACCATAGTTGCCGAGGATAGTGCTGAGGAGGGAGGAGTGAGAGAGGTACTCCTGGTCCCTGAGGGAGGGACTCAGGGAGAGGTCATCGTAATCTAGGGGTAACTGTGGTCCTGATATGTCCTTCATGGCCCGGGGAGACATTCCTTCAGCCATTGGTGCCTCTAACCTGCGGGAATAACACTCTGTAAATTGCTATTTATGAGGATCAGTCAAAGCGAGATCCAGTGAAGGCTCGAGTACATTCACTACGTAAATTTATTTACGTACAGGTACACATAAGCACAATTATCACACCTAGTAAGGAGAATTACCAATAGACCCCTGGTTGTCTTCAAGAGGGAGTTGGACAGATACCTAGAGTCAGTGCCGGATCAGCCGGGCTGTGGTTCGTACGTTGAACTACGTGCGATCAGCAGTAATAGCCTCGTTGATCAGGCCTTGATGCACCAGGCGGCCTGATCATGGACCGGGCCGCGGGGGCGTTGATCCCCGGAATACCCTCCAGGTAGACTCCACGTAGCTAGAACCCCCAAAAAGTCAGTGACTTATTTCTAATAGAGTCCTTGTAATACCTTATTATTCAAAGCCTGGGATGAATAGCATCATTTATTCGTCTTGTGACATATAACTGAGTTATCAAACGATTAAGAGGTTATCCTCCTAAAAAAATAATATAACAATAACTCGCAAAGAGGAATGATAACTGGGCGGAGTTTCAGCGCCAACTGAGAGAAGCCACACTGGCTTACTGGGTTACCCTGTCAACCATCCTCCAAACTAGATGGGAGTTTTTACGTGCATTACTTCTAGCAGATTTAAGCCCACCTGAAGCCTCTACAACACTTAAGTATTATTCTGATAAGCTAACTTAACGTGTATTAACGAATAGTAACAACATAACATCAATGGATGGCTTAGGTCTGGCAGCACTAGATATATGGCAGTTAACTAGAGCGTTGGTACTGTTACGCACTCTTAGATGGGTTGCATCCTGGTTAACACTCAAGGAACCAAAAAATATTCTACACCATTACAAAATTTAGAGTGGAACCAAAAATTGTCCAGAAAGGGAGGTGCATTGATGCTGGTGATGGGCTCTTGATCTAAGGAAATGGAGTTATCTTCTTCAGTGGATCGGATCAAGCCAGATTACCTGCCTTTCCCCAGACTCAGTATGCCCCTACAGATTTAGTGTTTTTCCAAGACGAAATGAAATATTGTTCAGTTTTTATTTCGAATTCACAGACAAGTTGTGAATTATGGCAGCCAGTGTTGACATTGTTACTGATGTTGCAGGTTAGGTAAGTGTTGACATTGTTACTGATGTTGCAGGTTAGTAAGTGTTGACATTGTTACTGATGTTGCAGGTTAGGTAAGTGTTGACATTGTTACTGATGTTGCAGGTTAGGTAAGTGTTGACATTGTTACTGATGTTGCAGGTTAGGTAAGTGTTGACATTGTTACTGATGTTGCAGGTTAGGTAAGTGTTGAATGTTGCAGGTTAGGTAAGTGTTGACATTGTTACTGATGTTGCAGGTTAGGTAAGTGTTGACATTGTTACTGATGTTGCAGGTTAGGTAAGTGTTGACATTGTTACTGATGTTGCGGGTTAGGTAAGTGTTGACATTGTTACTGATGTTGCAGGTTAGGTAAGTGTTGACATTGTTACTGATGTTGCAGGTTAGGTAAGTGTTGACATTGTTACTGATGTTGCAGGTTAGGTAAGTGTTGACATTGTTACTGATGTTGCAGGTTAGGTAAGTGTTGACATTGTTACTGATGTTGCAGGTTGGGTAAGTGTTGACATTGTTACTGATGTTGCAGGTTAGGTAAGTGTTGACATTGTTACTGATGTTGCAGGTTAGGTAAGTGTTGACATTGTTACTGATGTTGCAGGTTTAGGTAAGTGTTGACATTGTTACTGATGATTGTTGCATTTTGTTAGGTAAGTGTTTTGACATTGTTACTGATGTTGCAGGTTAGGTAAAGTGATGTATGACATTGTTACTGATGTTGCAGGTTAGGTAAGTGTTGACATTGTTACTGATGTTGCAGGTTAGGTAAGTGTTGACATTGTTACTGATGTTGCAGGTTAGGTAAGTGTTGACATTGTTACTGATGTTGCAGGTTAGGTAAGTGTTGACATTGTTACTGATGTTGCAGGTTAGGTAAGTGTTGACATTGTTACTGATGTTGCAGGTTAGGTAAGTGTTGACATTGTTACTGATGTTGCAGGTTAGGTAAGTGTTGACATTGTTACTGATGTTGCAGGTTAGGTAAGTGTTGACATTGTTACTGATGTTGCAGGTTAGGTAAGTGTTGACATTTGTTACTGATGTTGCAGGTTAGGTAAGTGTTGACATTGTTACTGATGTTGCAGGTTAGGTAAGTGTTGACATTGTTACTGATGTTGCAGGTTAGGTAAGTAAGTGTTGACATTGTTACTGATGTTGCAGGTTAGGTAAGTGTTGACATTGTTACTGATGTTGCAGGTTAGGTAAGTGTTGACATTGTTACTGATGTTGCAGTTAGGTAAGTGTTGACATTGTTACTGATGTTGCAGGTTAGGTAAGTGTTGACATTGTTACTGATGTTGCAGGTTAGGTAAGTGTTGACATTGTTACTGATGTTGCAGGTTAGGTAAGTGTTGACATTGTTACTGATGTTGCAGGTTAGGTAAGTGTTGACATTGTTACTGATGTTGCAGGTTAGGTAAGTGTTGACATTGTTACTGATGTTGCAGGTTAGGTAAGTGTTGACATTGTTACTGATGTTGCAGGTTAGGTAAGTGTTGACATTGTTACTGATGTTGCAGGTTAGGTAAGTGTTGACATTGTTACTGATGTTGCAGGTTAGGTAAGTGTTGACATTGTTACTGATGTTGCAGGTTAGGTAAGTGTTGACATTGTTACTGATGTTGCAGGTTAGGTAAGTGTTGACATTGTTACTGATGTTGCAGGTTAGGTAAGTGTTGACATTGTTACTGATGTTGCAGGTTAGGAAAAGTGTTGACATTGTTACTGATGTTGCAGGTTAGGTAAGTGTTGACATTGTTACTGATGTTGCAGGTTAGGTAAGTGTTGACATTGTTACTGATGTTGCAGGTTAGGTAAGTGTTGACATTGTTACTGATGTTGTCAGGTTAGGTAAGTGTTGACATTGTTACTGATGTTGCAGGTTAGGTAAGTGTTGACATTGTTACTGATGTTGCAGGTTAGGTAAGTGTTGACATTGTTACTGATGTTGCAGGTTAGGTAAGTGTTGACATTGTTACTGATGTTGCAGGTTAGGTAAAGTGTTGACATTGTTACTGATGTTGCAGGTTAGGTAAGTGTTGACATTGTTATTGATGTTGCAGGTTAGGTAAGTGCTGACATTGTTACTGATGTTGCAGGTTAGGTAAGTGTTGACATTGTTACTGATGTTGCAGGTTAGGTAAGTGTTGGCATTGTTACTGATGTTGCAGGTTAGGTAAGTGTTGGCATTGTTACTGATGTTGCAGGTTAGGTAAGTGTTGATATTGTTACTGATGTTGCAGGTTAGGTAAGTGTTGACATTGTTACTGATGTTGCAGGTTAGGTAAGTGTTGACATTGTTACTGATGTTGCAGGTTAGGTAAGTGTTGACATTGTTACTGATGTTGCAGGTTAGGTAAGTGTTGACATTGTTACTGATGTTGCAGGTTAGGTAAGTGTTGACATTGTTACTGATGTTGCAGGTTAGGTAAGTGTTGACATTGTTACTGATGTTGCAGGTTAGGTAAGTGTTGACATTGTTACTGATGTTGCAGGTTAGTAAGTTTTTGACATTGTTACTGATGTTGCAGGTTAGGTAAGTGTTGGCATTGTTACTGATGTTGCAGGTTAGGTAAGTGTTGACATTGTTACTGATGTTGCAGGTTAGGTAAGTGTTGACATTGTTACTGATGTTGCAGGTTAGGTAAGTGTTGACATTGTTACTGATGTTGCAGGTTAGGTAAGTGTTGACATTGTTACTGATGTTGCAGGTTAGGTAAGATTAGTCAGGAAACAGGACAAGTGTTTCCTGACGCAAGTCTTAGATGACGACCCTCCATTGGACCGTTTGGTCATCTGACCGAAGCCTTCCGCTGGCTTACCGGTCCACCATTTAAAGTTTTTGCTTTTAATTTTTCTATATTGATGTTGGAGTTAATTTTAATGTCTAAGTGGCAGGTATTGTACCTTAAGTTGATGTTAACTATATATTTATATGAGTGAGATACAGACTGACCCTTGTGGTGATAGTGTGACACACAGCCTGACCCTTGTGGTGATAGTGTGACACACAGCCTGACCCTTGTGGTGATAGTGTGACACAGCCTGACCCTTGTGATAGTGTGACACACAGCCTGACCCTTGTGGTGATAGTGTGACACAGCCTGACCCTTGTGGTGATAGTGTGACACACAGCCTGACCCTTGTGGTGGGTAGTGTGACACACAGCCTGACCCTTGTGGTGATAGTGTGACACACAGCCTGACCCTTGTGGTGATAGTGTGACACACAGCCTGACCCTTGTGGTGATAGTGTGACACACAGCCTGACCCTTGTGGTGATAGTGTGACACAGCCTGACCCTTGTGGTGATAGTGTGACACACAGCCTGACCCTTGTGGTGATAGTGCGACACAGCCTGACCCTTGTGGTGATAGTGTGACACACAGACTTAGCCTTGTGGTAATAGTGTGACACACAGCCTGACCCTTGTGGTGATAGTGTGACACAGCCTGACCCTTGTGGTGATAGTGTGACACACAGCCTGACCCTTGTGGTGATAGTGTGACACAGCCTGACCCTTGTGGTGATAGTGTGACACACAGCCTTATCCTTGTGGTGATAGTGTGACACACAGCCTGACCCTTGTGGTGGTAGTGTGACACACAGACTTAGCCTTGTGGTGGTAGTGTGACACACAGACTTAGCCTTGTGGTGGTAGTGTGACACAGACTTAGCCTTGTGGTAATAGTGTGACACACAGACTTAGCCTTGTGGTGGTAGTGTGACACACAGACTTAGCCTTGTGGTGGTAGTGTGACACACAGACTTAGCCTTGTGGTGGTAGTGTGACACACAGACTTAGCCTTGTGGTAATAGTGTGACACACAGACTTAGCCTTGCGGTGGTAGTGTGACACACAGACTTAGCCTTGCGGTGGTAGTGTGACACAGACTTAGCCTTGTGGTGGTAGTGTGACACACAGACTTAGCCTTGTGGTGGTAGTGTGACACACAGACTTAGCCTTGTGGTGGTAGTGTGACACACAGACTTAGCCTTGTGGTGGTAGTGTGACACACAGACTTAGCCTTGTGGTGGTAGTGTGACACACAGACTTAGCCTTGTGGTGGTAGTGTGACACACGTACTTAGCCTTGTTGTTGTAGTGGTGGTAGTGTGACACACAGACTTAGCCTTGTGGTGGTAGTGTGACACACAGACTTAGCCTTGTGGTGGTAGTGTACACACAGACTTAGCCTTGTGGTGGTAGTGTGACACACAGACTTAGCCTTGTGGTGGTAGTGTGACACACGTACTTACCCTTGTTGTTGTAGTGGTGGTAGTGTCAGACAGACTTACCCTTGTGATGGTAGATCGAGGTAGTCCCTGCCAGGGTCAACCAGACCATTACCCATCCTGGCCACCATCTCTCTCAGGAAAACATCAGACAGACCCATAGAAGCTCCCTGACAGACAAAACCTTCACTCAGTCTTCCAATAGAGGCAACATATAATTCTAAAAATTAAAAAAAAAAACTGCAATATACAGATCCTCTATATACCACGATTTTTTTTTGCAAATACAATTAAAAAGTTTTTCCGGAATTGAATACCACATGGTATTAAGGCATTTAGTGTGATTTTGAGTGAGCCAATCACTAGAGAAATTAGAATTAATTTCTATAGACGTATAGTGGAAATACAATTTAACCATAAGTTTAAAGTCTACTTTAAGTGCATATATTGAGTTATATTGACTCTTCTGCGCAAGTATTCTGCTTAGTTTCTCAAGTGTTAAGTATCAGGTATTACTACACTCACACCAAACATCACTTATATCCTTTTATTCACGATGAAAGTAAACTGTGTATATACACTGGCATACACACCTTTCAGGGTATATACACTGATACACGCCCTTTAAGTGTATATGCTCTTATATACACACCTCTCAGTATATATACACTGATACTCACACCTCTCAGTGTATAAGCATTGATACATACAGTTCTGTCAATGTATATACATTGATATACATTTCTCACGGTGTATTTACACATGTACATCTCAAGTGTATATACACACTGATGCTCCTCGCAGTGTATATATACTAAGACCACTTTTATTGCACTCACTGATGCACACCTCTCATTGATACACCTCTCAGTGTACACGCAATCATACATACACATCTCGATGTATATACATTTCTCTCAGTATATACACTAATACGCACGTCTCAGTGCAATCACTTGTTTCGTGATTTTCATTGATATATATATATATATATAATATATATATATATATATATATTAAATAAAAATAATATAATATATATATATAATATATATATATATATCGTGCCGAATAGGCAGAACTTGCGATCTTGGCTTAAATAGCAAAAGCTCATCTTGCCATATAGGACAAGTGAAAATTTGTGTATACAATAATTTCGCCAAAATCATTCTGAACCTAACGAAAAACATATATTTCACTGTGTTAGTTTAGTATTAAATTACTGTAAACAAATCTAAAATATATTTAGTTGGGTTAGGCTAAAATAAATTGATCTTGTTATAATAAGGTTAGGTAAGTCTTCTAAGATTCTTTTGGTGCAAAATTATAAATTTTTACATTAACATTAATGAAAAAATATATCTTTAAACGTATAAGAGAAAATTTTAGAAAGGACTTAATTTTAAAGGAGTTTCTTGCTAACTGACCAGTTTTACATATTCGGCACGACATAATATATATAAAAATATATATATAATATATATATATATAATATATATTATATATATATATATATATAAATATATATATATATATATATATAAATAAATATAATGCATACATGCAAATACACGATATATATACATATATAGACTGCATAGGCACAAACACTATACACGTATACTCTTAACAAAAACATATACCTCATACACAGGCACATTATATATACATAGACTATAACACATATACAATGTTTACATACATACACACCCTTGTATCCACTTACATGTTATGCTGTATGCCCGCATACATACTCAATACTCTCGTATCTTCTACACATATTCTTACATGTATATACATTACTGTATACAGAGAGAGAGACTTACCCCAGAGACAGGGAGATAGGATGCAGCACAGCAGGAGATCACAGCACCCACCACCACCACCACCAGAGACACAGCAGACATCATCTGCAGGTAGACAACAAGCCAACGTTAATGGAGGCTTCAAGTCTATCAATTACACGAGGGTCATTTAGGCTACCTAAGAATACTTTAGTGTCTAACATAGCGATTAAAATAAACACTCGAAGAAATAAGTTAGAACTATCTATTGTAATATGATGTTGTCATATATCAGGGAGGGAGAGAAGTAGGTCGCTTCCTAACCGGGTACTGAGGTGCGCTGGTGACTACATCTCACTTCCCATCACTACACACTACTGTCCACTTTAAACACCTTCGCTTTACTTTTACCTTATTGTTTCCTTAAGTTAAGCGCTAAACCCATATGGGCCATTCAGTGTAAGACGTGGTGAAGGTTTGATCCTCCGTCTGCTAGCGCCAGACAAGACGCGCTTCCTATTTGGCAAGGGTGTTTTCTGCCGATTAAGCAGTTAAAATTTTTTTTTGCCATAAATCTGCAAAAATCAATGTCAACGTAACGAAAAACATGTCTTTGATTTTAAGTAATATTAATTTTTACCTTATTAAGAATACCAAAATACATTATTCCACTCAGTTACAATTTATTAATATCTTTATAACAATGTACTTGGTCAGAGTGAAAGGTATGAGATAATAAGACAGCCGGGATGGTACAAGAATATTGAGACTGGGGAATACATTTAACGAACGAGATTGAATTTACACTTACCGAATACAGACCTTGGAACAGCTCACTCCTAGTACAGCCAACATCTAGCCACAGGTCCTAAGACGCCACACTGTCTTCAGCTGTTTCCTAACCAGGCCACAGCTCTGCCCAAAGTCTTCCAGCAGAGCCTGCAGCTCTCACCCAGCAAGAGCTCTCTCTCTTTCCAAAGTCCCTTAACAGAGCCTCCAGCTCTGCCATCAAGAGCTCTGCCCAAAGTCCTCTGACAGAGCCTCCAGCTCTGCACCCAGCAAGAGCTCTGCCCAAAATCCCCCAACAGAGCTTCCAGCTCTGCACCCATCAAGAGCTCTCCCCGAAGTCCCCCAACAGAGCCTCCAGCTTCGCACCCGGCAAGAACTCTTCCCGAAGTCTCTTAGCTGTTTCTCCGAGTTTAAACAGGCCTTCACACCTCCCTAACTTCTTCTACGAGGGTACTCCTGTGTGAGCATGCCACATGCGGCTTCCATAAAGGCTAGAATCCTCTAACAAGACTTGAGCTTATAGGATTACCAACCACCATTTTCTTCTCAAACAGAAAGATGTGAGAGACAGTGAGAGGAGTTCTCCCTTGGAATTACAAAGGCCTCCACTTCTGGCTAGGTCACCTCCCGTGCGCCTTCATCACCTGGCCTAATGAGGCAGATAAGCACTAACTACTGTGGTCCCAAGTAGAAACAGGGCACCTGGTATAACCTGATATTGGTAAGGCAGTCTGCAAATATCATAATACTCTCTCTTGCAAAATGCCCCTTCAGGGGAGCCAAGTTTATATATGTATAAATACACATAAGTACAGTGATTAGGTGATTACAATTATCATACATAGTAACATATTATGCAAAAGCTAACGAGCTATAAATCATGCAAAATAACCACAGGGGAGCTATCATTAAACTCCCCCTGCGGTTATTTTGCATACAACGTATGTGTAAATTACCTAGGATAGCCCCCCCCCCCCAAAAAAAAAGTCAAAGTGACGCATCTCCACTTGGGTCCTTAGAAGTGGTGAAGGACTCTTGATTAGAGGAATCCAGACTTTTTGTTACTTCCTCGAATAGAATCTGAATACCTCCATTTCCTCCTTCTCCATACCTCAGATCGAGGGGGGAAAAACGTGCGTTGCCTTCCATTCCGTTAAACCTCAGTGTGTTTGTTTAACCGTGGGAAGTTGAGTATCTGAGATATGCTGAACTGCCCTTCTGACGTTCTGGATGGCTGCTTCGTGGGGTGGTGTATCCTTGGGGACACCATTATCCTGAAGGCTGCCTGCGCTTCCTCCCGGTATGAAACACAGTAGCCTTAGTATTCCTGACGATGGCCCTCTTGATAGAAGCGAAAAATCCGTTGCCCTCAGGGAAAAAGGAAATGCCTCTCCTACGTATGCCAGTGACTCAACTACGTTCGAGGAAACTCCACGCTCTCCTACTCCAGAAGTGGCTCGGCACCTCGAGTCCGTCTGTACACTCTTCCAGTCACTCCTGTGTTGACAACCCTTAAGCAGTCCTCACCTCTCCACCTTCCCATCCTATTCACATCAACCCATTCTTCCCCTACTTTCGTCTTCCTCCACCTTCTTGTTTCTCCTCCAACATCCCTTCCCGGTTGAGCCTTTATCTCTTCCTCCGAAAACTTATGCTCCCCCAAAACTCCCCAGTCACCCTCACCAACCAAACTCCCTAACACACCACTTGCTCCTCCACGCTTACATTCCCCCCTCTGTGTTTCCCTTACCTCCTACGTCTGTCACAGTCATGAACATCCAGCCACCTTCATTTACGGCCCCTACTTTCCCATCTTCTCTACCCAGATTCCTTCGCCACAGGGCACCCCTCATGTATGCCAATGTTTTAGATTATTATTATTATTATAATCAAAAAGAAGCGCTAAGCCACAAGGACTATACAGCGCTGCAGGGCAGGAAGGAAGCGAGGGCATCAGGTGGCAAAAGGGAGATGGATGAGTAATAGGTTACGGGTAACAGCGGGGCAGTGGATGGTGAAAGGGTAAAGGGCAGCAAGAGACTGAACTAGAAAGGGCTGAGGGACCAATGTTTTAGAAGCACCAGATACCTAACAACACAGAAGTCACTTGATCACATTTGTGTACCTGTCCTCATCCCTATATAACAGTTTTTTCAGGTCACCATGCGCCTATACATACTGTCTCTAACCTCTAAATGTCAGAAGTGATCAAGGTCCCAGGACAGAAACGTTTTCTAATAAATATGTCCTAGTGTTTGCTTAAGTGTCTTTCTAAAGATTTCTGATACAAGAGATCAACTTTGTCATCCTCCTTTGTACGCTTTCCAGCTGATTTATATCCAGAACTGTGCAGCATAATTTAACTGAGACCTAACCAACGATATTATAGAGTTGAAGAATAACCTGAGGAGTCCTGTTATTTATACTTCTTGAATTCTATTCACTTTATTGCGAATTCTTAAGCACTGCTGTCTTGGTTTTAGATTACTGCTAACCAGAACTTCTAGATCTTTTTCACAATCAGTGATATTAAGGTCTACATTATTTAGTTTATAAGTGTCATGGTTTCAACACTTTCCAACACTAAAAACTTTGAATTTGTCTATGTTAAACTCATCTGGCAGTTCTCCGACCACTGCATCAGTTCATTCAGATCTTCTTGCAGCGCTCTAGTGTCCTCGTAGAATTAATTCAACGGTCTATTTTGGTGCCATCGGCAAACTTGCTTAATGTCACTATTTATTCCTTCATCAATGTCGTTAATGTAAATTGTGAACAATGTGTCCAACACTGACCCATGTGGAACACTCCTTGTGATGCTTTCTCACTCTGACTTCTCTCCATTTTGCCGACTCTCTCTTGTCTGTCAACCACGCCTCTATCCAGGGAAAAAAACCCTTCCTATTCCGTGCCTCTACTTTCCTCAATAACCTCTGATGTTGAAATCCATATACACTATCATATTCATTACTATGATGTGCCTCTTCAAATACCTTTTGTGAAAAAAGTAAATTCGTAAGGCAGGAACGCCCCTTTGTAAAATTGTTCTGAGATTCATAAATCAATTTGTTTCCCAAGGTGACTTCATATACCCTCGGCAATTTGATTCCATCAATTTTATCACAGTGGAGGTTAGGCTTATTGGTCTATAGTTCGAAGCTAGGAACCCGTCTCCTACTTTGTAGATAGGTGTCACATTTCCCATTTTCCACTTATCAGGCAATATGCCAGTTTGTAGTGATATGTTGAATAGACTATCCAAATTATTATTATAATCAAGGGGAAGCGCTAAACCCGGAGGATTATACAGCGCCTGGGGGGGATGTGGAAGGCATTCAGGCTTAATTCGGGGAACTGGAGCACAGATCCAATTCCCTAAATCAAGAGCCCCTCACCAACATCAAGGAACCTTCTTCGAGGGGTGACTATCCAAAGGTTTGCTAAGTTCCTTCTTACGTTCCTTTAGAACCGTTGCGGACAGCTCATTAGGCCCCGAGGATTTGTTAGGTTTTAATTTGTCTATTTGTCTGAGAACCATGTCACTAGTGACTCTGATCCTTCATAACTTATTTTCGTCCTGTTCGACATAATCTATTATTTCTGGAATTTCACTAGTGTCTTCCTGTATAAAAACTGATGAGGAAATAAGTGTTAAAAATTCTGCACATTTCTTTATTAGTGTCAATGAGCTAACCCAAGTAGTTTCTGAGTGGGCAAGTCTTGTCCCTAATCTTACCTCTATATACTGAAAGAAACCTTTCGGGTTAATCTTCGATTCTCTTGCAACTTTAACTTCATAATCTCATTTTGCTTTTCTCATTCCCTTTATTTACTATTTCTCAATTAATTAAATATATTGATTTCTTAACTGCCATCTGTCCTTTTTATTTGCCTGTAATGCCCTCTTCTTTTGAACGTATGAGATGATTTAATCTATTGTTCATCCATTTAGGGTCATTTTTGTTTGACCTAATTTCCTTATCTGGAACATAAGTAGTTTGGACAGCTAGAACTATGCTTTGAAAAATGTCATATCAGCAGCCATCGCTACCTACCTGACCCATATTCAGGTCATTCCAGCTCAACTCATCCAGGTAATTTATCATTCCTATGAAATCGGCCAAGAGGAAGTCAGGGACACTGACTTGATCGTATTAGGGTAATTCCAAGATATACTGAAATTGAGTGATTTTTGTGATCGCTTTCCCCCAAGCCATCATAACTTCAAATATTATTTGGATTCCTTGTTGGCATGAACCAAGTCCAAGCAGGTTGTTCCGTCTAGATGTCTGTTCACAAAACTGGTTTTTTAAAAAAGTAATTCGCTGGATCATATCAAGAAAGTGCTAGACTCAATATCTCCTTCAAATTGCTCCGGTCAATTTACCTTTAGTTGAAATATCCCATTAACACAAC